TTAGTTTAGAAGCTAAAGGACAGTCTATCCATTCCCCCCACCCCCCACCCAAACTAGAAAAGTGAAAGCTATATCCTTGAAAGATATCCAGGATGATAAAAGGTAATTTTACCATTATGGAAAGGAAACACTGGAAAGTGTTTCAAGACTTGGGAAAACCACCTTTATAGCTTCGTTGTGTGAAAGAAGAGGCATTCAGGACTGATGACAAGAATGTTGAAATAGGATACTTTTTGGCTCTGTTAGAATAGACCTAAGGAGATGGGGCTTTTTTTTAAAAAAAGAAAAAAATTCAGTCTGGAGTTAAACCCTGCAAAGGTTAAAGAAAATAGGATACATATTAACAATAGGCCTTACTTTAAATAACATCTGTACAGATGTGGCTATTCGTTCAGTGCAGTAATTATAGTGAGCTTTGGTTTCTGTATCCTGGATATGAAAAAGGAGAGCTCTGATCTCTCTCAAGCCTATTGTGCCATTCGTTTACGGTAACTTTTCCAGCCTTAATAAAGCCCCTGGCAAGCTGCCCTTCCTTCTGTGTTGATTAGCTTGGCTTGGGTGGTTCCATCTCTCTCCCTTCAATACTAATTTATTCACCATCCACCACCACCACCCGCCCTTGCCCTAAACCTCAAATGTCTCCCTGGCACAATTTCACAAACCCTGCGGTAAGCCTTAGAGACGCAATGTCATTTTTGAAGACTGATACAGTTTTCCCTAGAGAATGCTTGCTATCACCCTATGAGAACAGAATTCCATCCTCCCAGTAAATTGACCACGGAGAAAATAGAAAACCCGATGGCAATTTGGACATCGTCGCTAAACTAAAGTGGTTTCTACCACACGATGCACTCTTCCTTTCTTTGCCTGTTGGTTTAGATTCCTTTATGATGTTTTAGATTCCTTTAGGATGTTGCTTGCAATAAATCATGGGCTGCTGTCTATTTGGTTACCAGAAATGGAGCCAAAAGGAAGCTCTTCTAGCTAGATAGCGGGGCTTAAGGCTTCTTCCTGTTCCTTGGAGTATACCTGTTTATTCATTCTAGTCGAAGTAATCATTTCCCACTGGGTTCATTTTGAGAACCAGGAAGGACTAGTCCCCTGAATCCTGTGCATAACCTGATTAGCATATCAGCAGGAGGCAGGAGCTTAGAGGTTTTGAGAGTAACCTGAGCAATGGAGAAAGAATCCAGTGAGACCTGCAGAGGTGATAGAGGTTGGAAGAAGTGAGTGAGGGCACTGGCTTTAATGGAGCAGAGTTGGAAGTCCATTCAGAAACCCTCACTCCTCAATAGACTAGGCACCCAGTGCCAACTGCTGGGGTTCTCTGGCAATGTGAAAGAAGACCCTTCCCAATAGGAAAGAATGCCAAGACACAGCCTGGAAAGCAAGTTCTCACAGGCAAATACCAAATGGGCCTGTTATCCTAACTAGAAACAAACAGAAACTATTGGTTTTTGGTCTAACCCCACCAAAATGGGTCCTAGCTGTTACATGGGAGGAAAAGGCACAAGAATCCGAAGCTTGACTTCTGTTTAAATAGGCTTGCATTTCAAATTCTTTCCTAATGGTTTCCTTCACTCTACTACGATAAATCTACTCATCAGAAGTCCCTGGAAGTTTGATGGAGCTGATTAGGGGTCAGCCACTCTCAAAGCAAGCGAAGGACACAGGAAAAAGTAGTAATATTGCTGGTTCCCAGAATCCTTCTCTCCCCATGACAGGCGAGATAGTTTACAACTGTATGATTTGAGGGCACAAGCATACTTCAGAAACTGGAGAGGATGAGGTACAGTAATCACATAAGCCTGTAGTTCAGGGGTCTCAAACTTGCGGCCCGTGGGCCAATTGCAGCCCACAAGACGATATCCTGTGGCCCCCACCGTGATATGAAAGTATAATATTAGTGCGGCCCACAGGGGGAATGGACCTCTGAAGGAAGTCCCGCCCGCCGCTTGCCGGGGCTTCTTCTCCATCCTGAACTTTAACAAGTCCAAGTACAGATCCAGACTTACTGATGATCATCTTCAAGCCATACTGAGGGGCTCAAGTGCCTGCTCTCTCAAGCCAAATGTGGCTCAGATATGTGAGAGGAAGCATTGTCAAGTCTCTGGCAGCAAGGAGTAAGCTGGAGAAGCCATGTTCTGAGGAACTGTTCATGATCTTCATTCAATGTTCCATTCATGTGTTCAGGACAGTTCATGTATTGGAGAAATCATTAACTGTTGATGACATTTGAGGATATTTTTTTGTGGAATCCCTTATGCGGCCCAGCCTCACCCAGACTCTGCCTCCAGCAGCCCCCAGGTAAATTGAGTTTGAGACCCCTGCTATAGTTACTTTGGACAGCCAGTGACATCACCTGAAGTACTGAGGTAGTAAAAGACATCCAAGTAATTCCTAGCGCATGCATTTCCAGGGCTTAGGGGAAGAACAAATCTAGTCTTGTTCTTATATGTACAAGGAACAAGTTACATGGACTTTTCTGCCAGCCCTTACTAGTTAGTGAATGAGTACCAACTGCCACCCGTTTTTTAGGAGCCAATATTCCTTTTTCAAAAATATGTTTCTTGACCCCTACAGTGTTACACACATCATAATATCAAATGCTAAAGATTGAACAAAATATCAATGAAAAATATGTGCTGTCTTTCAGCTTCTCCAGATTGCTGGACGTGAACTGATGCAATGGCACATTCTAAAACGTCTATTAAGCATATATAAGGTCGGTAGGGTGTGCAAACTTTCTCGCACTGCAGAATTTCCCCCCAGGCATAATGCTAAACCCAGTACAAGACCGGAGAAGGGGAAAGGGGGTGGGGTCAGAGTGGCAGATCTTTAAAGCCACAGCATCTGTATTTGATCAAATTTTTAAGATGGAATGTGCAGCTATGGAATAGCAAGTCTTTTGATGAGATAGGCATGTCCAGGTTTAAAGGGACACCTTCAAATAAATATCAGGAGTTTTTCTCAGAATATTCATTTGCATATGGATTTCAGGATTTTTATCTGCCTACAAAGAGGAAAAGATGTATCACTCCTCTCCTTATTATGAGTCAGCAAGTCAAAACGGAATACTGTAGAATTAAAAGCAGACCTCAACTTTGAAACCACCAATTCTTCAGTAGGTAGGAACAGATGGTCTATGGACACTGTAGAGCAAACGCCAAAAGGGGTTGCTTTTGGGTTTCCAAGTGAAACATTGCTGATTAAAAATTCCAAGAGATATTATTAACAAAGTATTAAGCCTGTGATGAATGAAAAGGAAAGTCTGGTTTATGAATGCAAGGCTCTCTTTGAGGCCTGCACCCCTGCCAGAATAAAATTGATGTTATAGCCTTCAGGGACTTTCTACTCTAGGCACAGAACTAATCACCTCAGTTAAACAGAGACCAACAAACCCTCCCCCCTCCCCCACAGTTTCGAGTGTTGAATTGCAATTGTAATCTGAAGTAAATTTATACGGAAATAAGTCCTACTGAACCACACATGATTTATTCAAGAAAAAAAAATGGTTAGGACTTATAGGATGCCAAGTATTGGACACAAGCAGAGGTATTCCAAGATGTCAACCAGATTGAAGCTTTTAAAGGTATTTAAAAAACGCATTCTTGATCATAGAAAAATAAATCTTGGTGGAATTCCACCCTGCTGAAGACTTACCCATTTTAAACATTCGTTCCTTCTCTTTCATCAGTTTGAGTATCATATAACATCTAACAAAGGGAGGGCATTTCACAAGCCATGCTCGCATCCCAAATCAGGTAGCAAAAAAGTAATTGGCAGGATAATTTGGGGGGCAGCACAATTTATTTTGTTCATTTTACAGCAGCTTTTGTTAATTGTCCACAAAATTGGAAAAGAGGTTAAAGAAATTCCACTTTTCCTGCCGAATATACCACATTACTCAAACCAACCGCTGTAACCTTTAGAGAACAAAATAATAAGAAAAATAATGTATTTCACTAATTGAAAAAAGGGGTGGGGTGGAGTGGTATCTGTCTGACCCTAACTATAGGCCAACACCTATCGGCGAGGATGGCAGCACTGAAAAGGGAATGCTTTCAGACTGCTGGTCTGTTCCTAACAGCAACAGTATTTTTGCATTATTTAAGAAGGAATCCAAACAGATTGCTGGGTCAGCTGAGAGATAGAGAGATGTGTGTATAAAGGGATGCACCACAGTTATTTCAAGAAAAACTGAAAATTTGATTGGAATAATTATGCATGACTCTATGCATATGAATGAAGATTTTAGGGCCGAAAACGAGCAGAGGTTATAAACCTGCATTTCTAAGTCTGATTAAATAAATGCTGTTATAAAATCTCCCTTTATGACCTAGTGGAGCTACTTTAACTGAAAAGGTTTTCCATTCCCAGTTCTTGAAATCCAGTTCAGTGTTTGTATGACTGTTCTTCAGAATTTCAGGTCTACCCGAAAGGTCAGGAAAGACCCCTGCCTCTTTGAGTTAGTACAAAACTCCATGTCACAATATACTGTATTAGTTTTCAAAGACACATCAACACAGTTGCATTTCCTGAAACACCTGAAGATGACTCTTTTTCCTCCAGGAAGTCTTCTTGAGGTTCTACTTTTCAGTATGTTAAATGACCAAGCAAGCATTACATTTCAAAGTTGGGCTATTTGTTGGAATAGCTACCCCCACCTATGATTCAGCGCTGGTGCTAGCATGGAAGCAAAAAAAAAAAAAAGTCATTGCCATGTCACTTTTTGTTTTTGTTTTATGCTATTTGAAAAAAAAAAAGGTAAAATGCCTTTTGTGTAGACAAAAATTGAGTAGAGAGGCAGCTACATTTACTCTGTGGTTTTCACTTACTCTTAAAAGTCATTTCCAACATATAGGAATTGCAAAATGGGGTTAGCTATTCCTTTTTAAGGGGATAAAGGAATTTTTTTTTTTATTATAAACACCACGTATGAGAAAGAGATGTGCTTTGAAAAGAAATAAGAGAGGGGAAGTAAAATGTTCATACTTCTATTTTAATGGCAAAACTCAACAAAACATTTAAACTGTCAAAGAGAAAGTCAGAAGCACAAGCTTCCAATGTAGTTACATTAAAAAAAAAAAAAAAACCAAACCAAAACAGTCAAACCAAAAGTGTCCTACTAGGAAATGGGAATCAGGTATTGCACAGGGGGAAAAAAACACTCTCAAACACACTCCTTCCCCCTTGGAGTAGAACAAGCCAAGGTTTGAATTGCACAGCAACTCAGCTTAGGACACACACATGCACAAACAAACATTTAGAGATGAGGAAACAGTGTGCTTTTGAACTACCTGTACAAAGTTTAAGAAGACCTATAAAAGGGAGGAAGAGAAGATAGCAGGCCTACGGGGCTATAAAACACATTTAGGGAGCCAGCTTGTATATAGAGGAATGTTTACAATTTTAAAAATCCAGAGCATGAGTCCTCCTAGTTTAGAGCAAAGCAATGAGGCATTCTCTTCAGTTGACCTACAATATAGCCATGTCATGCAGGATGGGAAGTCGCCATTATTGGCACGGCAGTGGGTTGTACAAAGCTAGAGACCTAGCTGATCCAACCAGTTAGGCTTGATATGGTGCAGTGTGAGTCAGCACCATTCTCGGATGCTCACGTTTTGGCTGTTCTACCACATCTCTGGAGAGGAAAGGAGGGGTTGATGTCAAAGAGATGACAATGTTTCTGATTTAGAACCATTCACCTCTTGCCGGGGACCTGTGCTCTGAGTGTTGTATGCTTTGGGGTATTATTATCCTTTGCTTAGTGCCACGTTTAAAGGACTAGGACACGACCAGATGGAAAGTCAGTTCCCAGAGTGGGTTCAAATGGACACCTGGCCATCTTTTCAAGTCTCAGGCGCTATCAGAGATATTTAGCATCTCAGTCTTAAAAGCATTATATATAGAAAGCAGGCGAGCTCAGCCTTGAAGGAGAACAAACTTCCAGTCAGATATAGCGATATGTAAGAAATTTGTCACTCTTAATCTCGTTGAGCCTCCTACAATTAGGAGAACCATGACTTTAAAGCCCGTTCTTTCTAAATTCAAACTCTTGCATCTATGGAAGATAATCCCTGATAAGTTTTGCATGCTGATTTCACCAGCAGCTTGTTTCTCCTGCTCTTTTAAGATAGCCCAATTTAAATATATTTTGTGCACAAAGCTTTCTTCTATGGGTCCTTAAATTTGTGATCCAGTGTCCTCAGAAAGCCACCTATTTTTCAACACTTTCAGAACAGAACCCATAATCTTAATGAGATTTAATTCTTACCCACACTGGAGATGTAAATTATTTTTTTTAAAAAACTCCACCTTTGGTTCAGTTTAAGTCCATTCTTCTTGACCAAGCAGAACATTCCAATTATTTCATTTGAACTGTTTAGGTAGAACAGCATGTTTATACGCTTGTAAACTGAACTGCATGACAGCTGGAATTCATATAGTCCCTGTTTTAGCGAATCAGTTGGGTATCAATTCAATCTACACACAGGTTGACTATATATCACATTCTCTGATCATTAATTGTTGGGAAGTTTTGGGTTGCTTTGCTTTAGAACCCCCCCCCCCCCAAAAAAAAAAAAGGGACAAGAAGTGATGGGAGATTTGGGTAAACAAAACATCTCAGAATGATAATTAGGATCTGCCTGCAATTGTGCCCATAGGGCTTGCACATCGTTAAGTCTGTGCACCAAAACATTATCAATTGATGTGGGTATCCTGTGCCTATGCATGAGTCTAGGAACCAACTCCAGGGACCATTCTTATTTAGGCCAGAAATCAGATGGCTGTATAGAAACTTTTCCATTCATTATTACTATTGTCAATACAAATCCCTGGATAAAAACATGCCCTTAACACTAGCTGATAGGAATAGTTCCCTTTATATTGATGCATTTCATAGTTACTCCTATCTCCTTAAAACAAAAAGGTAATTTCCATACTGATAATGCTTTGTCCTTAAGTATGACAAGTATCAATGGCCTTTTTTGCTGAGATTTCTCTCCCCTTCTCAGCAAACTTCAAGCTTTCCAAACGTATTTTGAATATGCTTATAACTGGCTGCTATTTCCTAAATTGGCGAATGTAAAAAGCAGAAAAAGGTAATATATGGGAACAGAGAGAGAGAGAAAAGAGAGGGGGGAAAAGAAATATGGAGAGGAGGCACTTTGCTCAAAACATTTAGTGTGGCAGTCTCAAAACTCAGCTTGCAGCAGCTTAAATTGGAGAGAGTGGGATTTGAGTTGGTATTCCCTGTTTTTACAAGATATATAAACACCCTTTACAGCATGGGGCTTGCAATACAGGGTCAACATAGTAAAAGGAATAAAAGAAAGGGAGGAAGAGGGATATATTGTGCTGAGAGGATGCAAACCAAGCGCATAGCTTGCTTTGGATACTTGGATTGCTTGCCAATGTGACTGTCACCCAGAGTTTACACAAGTAATTGAATACTACAGTGCCTGAATAACAAGAGAGGGCTATCGTAAATAAACACAGGTCTCTTCTGTATGCCTTCTCAAAAATTGGGCTAGGAAATTTCCAGTATAGAATATACCAAGACGACGGGCATTGCTACTGTTGAAACTATTGAGAAAGACAATACCCACTGCTGGGAAATCAGCAGAATTGATGGGATCAAGATTCAGAAGATCTAAAAGGGGTTGCAGATGTTGCCTTTAGGGAGATAAACACACGGTTGACAAGGGGTTTTCCTGCTTTGAGAGCAGCAGCGGCGAGGGTCAAGAAAACTTGGAAGCAGATAGGAATGAAATATCAGGCGGAGGTATCCATCCATGGAATGTGATGGCGGTGAGGCATGTGGCAGTCAGCATTGTTCAATACCCATTACATGAATAAATAACAGCACCGTGGCCAAGCCCAAACAGAAAACTCTGGATCCTCTGTGTGATGGACATTCAAGAAAAGGCTAGCCAGGTTCCCACGCTATTTGGCTTCTCTGCCTCCCAGGAAACGAAGAAGACATGCTGAGTGCTACACGGCTGTTTCCTGATCCTCCCGCTGGATCATCTGATAGTGCTGTCGATTTTCGAGGTAGGCAGCCAGGTCGGGATCGTTTGCCTTCTCAGCTCTGTGCTTGGCTGTGTCTCCCTGTGAGGAGGGAGGGAGGAAACAAAAGGGGAGACTGGAGCACAAAACTCTTCGATACCACAGAATTTCACTCTCCTCTTCATTTTGAATTCAACTCTGTTGTAATCCATTAGATCAGGAATGTCAAACTCAAGGCCTGCGGGCCAGATTTGGCCTGTGGGATGCCTAGATCTGGCCCGTGGGGCCGCCCTGAAAACAGTGAAGGACCAACCCGTGGTGCCTCTCCCAGTAAAAATGGAGCTTGGGAGGGCCATGTGTGGCTCAGGGGCTTAGTTTTCAGCTGTGATGGCCTCCTGTAGCCCTCTCCCAGCAAAAATGTTGTTCTGAGAGCTCTGTTTTCGCTAGCAGAGGACTGCAGGAGGCCGTCGCAGCTTAAAATGGAGCCTCGACAAGTGACGTTGAGCTCATCAACCCCCCCCCCCGGCCCCCTGAGGTAAAACAGAACCTTGATGCGGCCCTCAATGAAATCGAGTTTGACACCCCTGCATTAGATGTTTGGCACATCTAATGGTTGGCAATTTGAGGGGTTAACAGTCTCATCTAGGATTTTAAAACAAACGAATTTGGGTATGAATATGGAAAATATATTCTTTAAAAAACCCATAGATTTGTAAATCATATTTACATAGCTTTAGGCATTACATCATTTATAAAAGTGTCCAAGAAATTTATAATTTAATTTTAATTTCTGGCTCCATACAACTCCCACAGAAAGAAACATCAGATCATTTGGCTGCTGCTATGACTTCTTTGTCTCATAAACAAATAAGTAGATACAGTAAGCGCAGGCATACACACACACACACACACACACACACACACACACACTATATTTGTACACTGGGGCAAGAGACAAATGAATGCAAAAAATGCATATTTCTCTTCCCTTTTTGTATTACAGATGTACATGTAAAATGATAAAAAGTAATAATGCCTTCCACATCAACTTTGAATTCTGTGAACTGTGCATACTACTTCCCATAAATAAGGATATCTATATTAGATGCACCTACTAGTTATCCTAAGAAATCTCTATTCACATGTAGCCCTGAAAGAAAAGGGCCCCAAATGTAGGGCTGCAGCAACATACACAGATTCCAGTCTTGCCTCAAGAGATGTGGGGAAAAGCTGTAAGACTGGAAGAGCCTGCCTAGATGGAAAGCTTTGGGGTTTCTGGAAGATTAGCAACTGACAGCTAAAGAAGTCCTCAAGGGCCTGTTTGTATACCCACTCTGTTCCCTTTACTGGATATTAGGAGGGGGTGCCACTGCTTCCATATCTTCACACTGCAAGAGTGTAAACGGGAAAAGTGAGAAATTTTGACATAAGCTTGTGTTTCTTGACTTTGTAGCTTGTCTACTCGTTCTGAGAAAGTAAGGAGGAGTGTGGGGGTGCTGGCTGGGTGAGGTATATGCCTGGGAAGGTCCCTGAAATATCATCCTCACAGCCTTACTAGTTCTCCTGAATCCCCAAGGAAGCTCGTATTTCATGAACGTACTGCAGCCATCTGGACTGTGTCCGCTAATGAACTCCTGCACTCCATAAAAACTAAATCGGTTAACAGTTTTCAGCCATGACTCCCCTTCCTTCCCCCATAGCACAAACTCTCCCTCCCTCTCACTCACAACCCCCACACTTCACCAGCACTGAACAAACACGCTGCTGAGAGAGGCCAAGGAAAACTGGCTAGCTGCCGCCTGTACTGAAAGTGGGAGAGAACAAGGAAGGAAGGAAGGAAGGAAGGAAGGAAGGAAGGAAGGAAGGAA